CCGGTGGCGGTCTCAAAGACCCAGACCGCCAACGGCGCCATCGCATCGGAGACTCTGGAGTATCCGAACTGGAATCCACATCGATGATCGGCTGCAGGCGTTGCACTTCAGGACTGTCAAGCACCTATCAGCAGTTAGACACCGTGAAAAAAAAATATATCCAACTGTTCGAAAACAGTGGCTACGGGGGTGACGAAAAAAGAAGACTGAATCGCACGAAAGGCACCAAGGTCGGTCTTGTGGTCCGCGGAGGCGTCAGATCCGACATCAACGGCTACGATTCGACTCGTTAGTTAAAAATGACACTTGCCAGATACACTTTGTTGCAAAACATTGCATCATGCTACAGCGTAGAAATCCATGAGTTTGTTCCTGAATTATCATCGTTTCAAACATAAATATATTGCATGAATTTAATCGATCTTTTGTCACAAACAATGAGATGAGTCATGTATGACATGAGAACAACCTCTACCCTTGGGAGCCCATGTTGTTAGCGCAACAAAAGAGTCATGGATCCGATGAAGGGCAAACCAGTTGGTATGAAATTCTGAACTTTTGAATGTCAACATCACAGGCTTTACTTGACTTACATGAACATAGAAACAAAAAAGACGTTGGCATGGTATCAATACTTACTTGAACGTTGCAGCGTAGCATCAAGAGCGGCTGGCATGTTACAAGAGACATGTTGCAGCGTAGCATCAAGAGCGTCTGGCATGTTACAGCGTACCCCTTGCCCCCCCCCCACCCCCCCCACCCCACCCGGTTCCCCAAAAAAAATCACATCATCCTTCGTGCACAAATTCTAACTAACGGGCAATACTTCTAACTAACGGGCAATACTTCTAACTAACGGGCAATACTAACCAACGGGCAATACTTCTAACTAACGGGCAATACTTCTAACTAACGGGCAATACTTCTAACTAACGGGCCATACTTCTAACTAACGGGCAATACTTCTAACTAACGGGCAATACTTCTAACTAACGGGCCATACTTCTAACTAACGGGCAATACTTCTAACTAACGGGCAATACTTCTAACTAACGGGCACAGCAAAAAGTGTCATATTCCCCAGGGCCGGTAGGGGCGTCGTGAGCAAAAACAAAGAGACAGAAAAGACAGGAAGCAAAGATTCAAAGGAGCAGGAAGTAGAGCAGCAAAAACACATGACTGAAGAAAAGACAAGTAGAATAGTAGAAGTAGAAAGGCACAGAAGTACAAAAGCAGAGAAGCAGGGAAAACAGAGAAGCAGAAAAGCAAAGAAGCAGGAAAAGCAGAGAAGCAGGAAAAGCAGAGAAGCAGGGAAAGCAAAAAGCAGAAGCAGGAAAAGCAGAGAAGCAATTTAAGCAGAGAAGCAGAAAAGCAGAAAATCAGAGAAACAGGAAAGCCTAGAACCAGGAACCCCCCAAAAAAAACACAAAACCTGCCGCGAAAAAAAAATAAACATCACTCCGGTAGAAAGACACGAAGGTCAGCAGTTGGAATCACACATATGCACAGAACATGTGCTGGCATGTTTTTACCTGCATTTGCAAATACAACGAGATACTATGAGCGATGCCAACACCAATAGTTTAATGACAATGCACAACTATCTTCCCGATTATCCCAATCTATTGAGGCATCATCAATATATCACTCCAGGCCCTTCCGATGCCCATTCGCCCATTCCCGGGCCTTTGCCACAAAAATGTGACGCGGGATAAATATTTGCATTAGCGCATCACGGGGCGCCATCCCAGATGTTCGATCCATCAGCTGGTCACATCCAACTGCCGAAGACCCTGCCGGGTGAAGGTATGACGGAAAGTCTTGCAAGATGTTTGGACAATAGGGCAGCTCCTTTTTT